GGGTTTTTTTTTTTTTTTTTTTTTTTTTTTTTAATCGAAGCATTGTGTAGAGTCCCCATCGCGCACTTCCTCCAGCCCAGGCAAGAGCCCTGGCCTGCACAACAAGGAAGCCGCAGGAAGCCACGCCTGGCGCTACTACCAGGTCCTAGCACTTCTGCCCGCCAGTGCCTACGCCAAGTCCCTGCCGGACGTGGAGCGCGACCCGTTCCCTTGAGCTGAGAGGCCCAGGGTGGACGCTGGCTAGCCCGCCCCTGCAGCACCCAGGCCGCCAGGTCAGCCTCCAGGATCCAGCGCCCGCCTGACGGTGGAGACGGGAAGCCTGGGCCAAGCCTGGAAAGGGGCTGCCACCCGGGACTCCCGCGGGAGCGAAAGCGGCAGCCACAAGGAACTTCCACAGCCACCGAAAACTTCCCGCAGCACGTCCGCAGCCGAGGAGGACCGGCCGCCACCGGGTCGCCTAGCAACTAGGAGCCAAGCGCGCAGAGGCCAGCCATTGGCCAGTTCCCATCACGTGAGCAGGCACCACTGTCCACTAGGAGAGGGCGCGGCGGTCACGTGAGGCGGCACTGCCAACCTCTCACCCATCGCGATCGCCGAGGTCCTTTAGAGAAGGTGCTTGGTGCAGTTTCGCCCTGTCATGGTACAGAGTCCAGGCCTCGGCTGATAGGACCAGAGAAGCAGCCGTGGCCACCGAGGCCTTTATGCGCCCGCCGTGGCTAGGCGTGAAACGGTCCTGAATTGGTCGTGGAGGAGCATTTCCTCTGAATAAGACTTGACGTCTGCCAGGCGCGTGGGCGCCTTATTCTCCTGGCGACTGGGGAGGTTGAGGCAGGAGGATCTCAAGTTCAAGGACAGCCTCAGCAACTTAGTGAAACACTTTCGCAAAATTAAAAAAACAGAAAGGGCTGAGGATGAGCTCAATGGTTAAGCACTCCTGGGTCCAATCCCGAGCAACCCTCTCCAAAAAAAAAAAAAAAAGAAAAGAAAAAAGAAAAAGAAAGAAAGAAAAAGAAAAACAGCTATGTCAGAGGCTTCCTCTAGTAACAGAGGAAGTTCTGACCAATGGGTTCAACGCCGCAAATGTTAAGTGATACGATGTTTCAAGACAAGGAGTTAAAGATAATGAGTTGGGCAGTGTTTATTCAGCTCTGAAGAGAGATTCACCTGGAGCAAGAGAAGTATTTGGTGTTTGGTGTTTCAGTACTGGGGATTGAACCTAGGGGTGCTCTACCACTGAGCTACATCTCCAGCCGTTTTTATCTTCTCTTGTGAGACAGTGTCTCCCTAAATTGCAGAAGCTGAACTAGAACTTGTGATCCTTCTCCCTCAGCCAGCCTCCCAAATAGCTGGGATTACAGGCCAGCACAATGGCGCCCAGTTTATCCTCTTTTTTTTTGGTGCTCGTTACTGAACCATGCAAAGCCCATGCTCTACCACTGAGCTACATCCCCAGCCCAAAAGAGATCTTTTTTAGTACACAAGCCACATCATATCACTTCTCTGCTCAAAACCCTCCAGAAATGGTGGGAGGTGTAGCTCAGTGGTACAGCATTGCTTAGTTTTGATCCTCTGCACAAGAAAACAAAACAACAACAAATTCTCTCCAGTGGCTTCTTATTTCAGTCAATAAGTCAGTGTCCTCACAATTACTTACACGGTAATCTGGTCCCACAGACTCCTATCCACTTGCCTTTTAATTCATTTCTCCCAAAAGTGCTGCCTTTGATGATGTTTCTCAAACAGGGCAAACACCATGAGGTCTCTGCATTCACTTTTACCTGTGTCGAGTATCTTCCCAGATGTCCACCTGTCTTATACTTCACTCACCTACTTGAATATTTTTCATTTATTTATGGTTCTGGGGATTGAACCCAGGGCACCCTATCTCTGAGCTAAATCCCCAGCCCTTTTTATTTTTGAGACAGGATACTGCCAAATTGCTGAGGGTCTTACCATTCTCCTACCTCAGCCTCCTGAGTTGCTTGGATTATAGGCATGAACCACTGTGCCCAGCTTGAATGTCACTTTATAAGGGACCCTTCCCTGACCACCCTGTACCAAGTAGCAACTACTCCACTGCCTCCATTTGTCAACCCACCTCCATGCCGCGTTCCACTCCTTGCTTTCCCCTTGGTATATAGCACTTAATCACCACCTGACACATTTTTATGTTCTTTGTCCATCACCTCCTACTAGAATGTAAATTCCACCTGAATAGACAGTTGTTCCCTGTTGAACTACTAGTACCTAGGACAATGTTTATCATGTAGTAGGTGTTAATCATTGTTGAAGATATGCATAAATGTTCTATACCTAATATGGTTCTGTTACTTCTTATGTTGAGTGGACCCGTGTTCCAAGTGGGTAAAAGGCTTCCAACAATACTGGCAGTGTCCACTTCAGAGTGTTCTGTATCCACTTTGTACCTTTAAAGCTGGTTCTTTATAATCTTGGCCTTGATATTCCTCCATAACTATGATGTGGTGTTCCAAGAGGGACACCCAAGGTTTTCTTTGTGTGTAAAGAATGAAATGTTTCCGGAAGAGAGAGAAGAAAAAGAACAATTGAATATGAAGGTAGGTATGAACTAGATGTGTCAATAATAGATCAACAAAGCCCTTCTCAGGAACAGTGAGTGAGTGAAGTAGGCTTGTTCAATCCAGAAGGTTCTCGGGAAAATTTACCTTCCCCAAGTTCCTTGAAACCTAGAAATCTGTAGCTTATGATCGACAACTTTATCCCCTATTAAAATACAAGTAACCTAAGAGCAATCATATTTTCAGCAATCATTAATACCCTAATGTTAGTTCAGATCCTTTCTTTTCTTTTTCTTTTTGTTTTTTTAGATCTTTTTTTTTTTTAGAGAGACAGAGAGAGAATTTTTTATATTTTATTTTTTTAGTTTTCGGCAGACACAACATCTTTGTACGTGGTGCTGAGGATCAGATCCTTTCTTAAGAGAAGTTTTTGAAAATGAAAGCAGGGCTGGGGCTGGAGCTCAGAGGTAGAGCGCTTGCCTAGGATGTGTGAGGCCCTGGGTTCGATCCTCAGCACCACATATAAATAAATAAAATAAAGGAATTGTGTTCACCTACAACTAAAAAAAAATGAAAATGAAAGTGAAGAAAGTAAGAACTCAGAAACTGATAGGTGAGACAGTCCAGGGAGGGGGAGGGGGCACAAAGTTGAGCGTGCAAGGACAAACTTTCGCCTATTTTCTAGTTTTGCCCAGGGCGGATTCTCGCAATCCTACATATTGATTTCTAGCCCCAAACATGTGAGTCAGCATATCATGGGACCTGAACTCAGAGGTGAGAAAAGTCCATAGTTACTCAAGATGTTTTGATAAGAAATGATTCCAGGAACACTGGAAAGGAGGGGCTGCCTGGGAACTGACTAAACCACCACTGGATCTTCAGAAAGATAAGCAGGAAAGGGAGGAGATGTCACCTTAAACAGAATCACATATTCTGGCCAAAGAAACAGAAAGTTTTTGCATTAGAGTAAAACCAGTAAAATGAAGCTCTATATGCTGTCAATTAATATGCTAGGAATAGTACAGTGTTGAGAGAGGCTTCTTTGAGCAACATAACCAGGAAATGATGATAAGGGGAAATTCTACACAATATATACTTGCCTAAAGAAAAAAAAAAAAAAACAGTTCCCAAATACCAAACCAAGTATGACTATGTTAGAGAGATTTAGGTCCTACTATAGTACTATAGGCATGTTAAAAATCAACTGAGGTAGATGCCTTTTTGACGTGTGTTCTTTCAACTAGAAAAGAATTAGGCAAGAACCCCAGAGATGGAAGATTGGGGTGGTCACCATGGTGAGAAAGGGTTTGGGAGCAGAACAAGGTGACTCCACACACATGCATAGGCAGAGCATTTGGGTTCTAGATAAAAGGTTGGAATAAATGTTGATGCCCTTAAAGTTGTTTCCAGTGTGAGGAGTCTGCCACTCACTGACCCTGTGAACACAGGTAAATTGATCCAAGTGCCCAGGCCTCAGTTGCCTTACCTATGAAATGGGAAGGATGCCCGTATCAGTTTGGATCTGAAATGTCCCTCAAGGCCTCACTTGCTGGAAGCTTGTTCCCCAACACAGCAAAATTCAAATGCAAGACTTAGGAGAATTCATTGGATCCTGAGGACTCTCAGCAGATTAGTCCATTGACAGATTAGTCATCTGATGATATTAGTGGATGGTAGTGAGGACTGCAGGAGGTAGAGCCCAGTTGGAGGGAGTGGGTCCTTGGGAGCATGCCCTTCAGGACTAGATCTTGTCTCTGGCCCCCTCCTCTTCTCCCTCAACTTCCTGGTTGCCAGGAGGTGAGCTGCCTTCCTGTACCACACCCTCTGCCATGACATTCAGCTTCTTCCCAGGACCAAAGCAATGGATTGACCATGAACTGGAACTGTGAGCCGACATAAATCTTTCCACCTTTAAGTAGCTTGTATCTTGCAGTTTGGTCATAGCGACCACAAACTGATGAACACAATGCCTTCTGAGGGCATTTAAAAGAATAACATGAGATCCTACATGGTAGCAGTGTAACAAAGTGGTTCAGACTGTGGGCTTTTGGCAGGTGTGATGGCGCACACCTGTAATCCCAGTGGCTTGGAGGGCTGAGATAGGAGGATGGCGAGTTCAAAGCCAGCCTCAGCAATGGTGAGGCGCTAACCAACTCAGTGAGACCCTGTCTCTAAATAAAATATAAAATAGGGCTGAGGATATGGCTCAGTGGCTGAGTGCCCCTGAGTTCAATCCCCAGGACCAAAATAAAAAACAAACAAAAACTGCGGGCTTTCTGGGTGCAGTGGCACATGCCTGTAATCCCATCTACTCAGGAGTGTGAGCCAGCCTGGGCAATTTGGCAAGATCTTTGTCTCAAAATAAAAATAAAAAGGGCTAGCTCAGTAGTAGAGTGTCCCTGAGTTCAATCCCCAGCATCACCACCCCCAAATAAAAGAAAGGAAAATGTCTGTGGGCTCCAGTCAGATTTCCTGAAGCTGACCTTTATTACTTTTGGATCCTTGGGCAAGAGACTATCCCCTCTCTATGCCTTCGATTCTTAATCTGTAAAATAGAAATAGTACCTCATGGGATTTTTACAAGGATTAAATAACACAAAGTGCTTTGAACAGTGCTTGAAAAGAAGACAGCATTCAGTAAATGTCAGCAATCATTGGCAAGGTGCCTGACACACAGTAGTGAGGTGTTTTTGTTGTTGTTGTTTGCTTTGTTTGTACTGGGAATTGAACCAGGGATGCTTTACCATGAGATATATCCCCAGCCCTTTTAATTTGTGAGACAGGGTCTTGCTAAGACGCTGAAGGTCACCCTGAATCGCTGAGGCTGGCCTTAACTTGTGATCCTCCTATCTCAGACTCCCAAGTCACTAGGATTCCAGGCAGGCACCACTGCCTCTGGCAGCAGTGAGCAATTAACAGGGTCCATTCTTTGTAGCCCTGCTGGTCTAGAGCAGGATTTCAGATTCTGAGACCTCCCTTCTCTTAACCTCTACCCCACTCCACCCCATCCTGATTTGGCATTAAGTACTAGAAACTTCTCAAGCCATTAGTGGTTGCAGGTAATAGAGGTGTGAAGTCTATCTCAGGGGCAGTGAGAGAAAAGTTCACACTCCGAGCCAAATCCCAGGAGGCAACTGATCAGAGTCCAAATAGGAAAGGGGCTGACTGGTGAGGAGCTGAGGGAACTCTGTGCTCCAGAGTAGCTCTCTTAAGAGGTAAGAGGGAGTTCAGGGCCATTAAACCAGTGAGCAGAGCTATTGGCAGAGGGCCCTGCCACATGAGCTTGGTGGATCTAGGTAGGAAGGCTTGTAGAATATACCCCTGCTTCCACACACTAGGACCTTGGGTCTGTATCCTGTTTTAACACAGAGTACATCTTGGTTCCTGAGACATGCTGACTGGGTATTGTTTTTTGAGTTTCAGGCTGATGTGGCACTTGTGATCCTCCTGCCTCAGCCTCCCGAGTTGCTGGGATGACAGGTGTGCACCACCAAACTGGGCTTGAGTTGTTTATGCTGAGGGCTTCCAGCATGCTAGCAAGCCACACCCCGCCTACCCCCACTAGCTAACATTTTGAGGAACTGCCAAACTGTATCTCAAGGTGGCTGCACCATTTCACATTCCCAGTGGCAGTGTATTAGGGTTCCAGACCTCCCATGTCCTCGCCACCATTGTATCATCTGACTTCTTTATTATAGTCACCCTAATAGGACTGAGTAGTCTCTTACTGTTGATTTAATTTGCATTTACATTTTCTTATGCTCACAAATTCTGCGGGTCAGAATTTGAAGGAGCGAACAGCCGAAAGCAGCTTCATGATGTTTGAAGTCTCAACCGGAAAGACTCAAAGGCTGGAGATGACTCACCGCTGGGGTTGATTCATCTGAGAGTGTCTTTACTCATATACTTGACTTGGTGGATTTTCCTCATAACCTGTTTTGTCTTCAGCTGAGCTGTTTTCTGGAATATCTATACACAGTGCACGGTGGTCTCACTGCATGGAGTAATTTGGGTTCCCTCGCAGCAAAACTTCTGGTTCTGAGATCAAGTGTTCCAAAAGAAGCAAGGAGAAAATGTATTACTTAGTCTCAGAAATCATACATTGTCACTTATGCCAGGGTCACTCTGTCATGATCTAAATGGAAGGACATAAGCCTTACCTCTAAATGGGAGGAATGTCACCACGTTACAGGAAGAACACACAGGATGGGAGATACTGTTGTGCCTGTCTGCAAAATTAATTCTGCCAGAGCTAGGAACCTGAGCACTACTAGAAAAAAACACAATAGAGAAATCAATCGTTATTCCAACTTCAGCTGACACCACCTGGAAATCCTGTATAATTTCTGTGCTCAATTTACTTCAACTTACAATGGTCATTTCAATCTTTTCTGTACCCACAAATCCTTTTTCTCTTGACAATGTCCATTGAAGAGGTTGAAAAGGGGGCTGGGGATGGAGCTCGGTGGTAAGTACTTTCTGGCATGTGCAAAGGCCCTGGGTTTAATCCCCTGTGCCACAAAAGGGGGACATAGGTTGAAAAGGCAAAATACTCATTTTCCTAGCCTCTCTTGCATCTATGTAATACAGTTTTGTTCAGTGAGAGGCAAGCAAAAATCTGCTGAGTTACTTCTGGGCAAGCCCCTGTATTGAACAAGTAAAATGACGCATGGATTAGAGGCTTCCAGCCATACTGTAACCCTCAGGGAGAAGCCAAAAAAATTGTAGAAGTATTCACCCTGATATCACTGAGTCACTGAACCAATGCAGCTATCTAACTACAGGCCTACTACCCAATGAGAAAATAAACTTATTTGTTTAAGCCAGTGATATTACTGATCAATCCAAACTTAGAAACTGCAAAGGTAAAAAGGAGTTTATTTGCAGTCTTTGGCATTCCAACTCAGGAGACACAGATTCCAAATAAGAAAGGCAAGAAAAGTGGGGCCTGAACCTGAAGCACTACAAAGTGATAAAAATTCTTTATAGAGAAAAATGCTACTGAAATTGAGGAAGAACAGGTACTGTAATGATAGCGGTTATGAGCCCAATGAAACAAGAATCCCATAACCTCTTGACATGCATCTGCAGTCTCCAGGTCAACCCAATGTAATCAGTTTCAGATGCCTGCAAAGGGTGAAGGTGGCCAAAGTTCACATCCCTAGGCAGCAGCTGGATTGTTAACTCGATCTCCCTTGATGGCTTGGGGACTCCATTTTGAAAAGCTCTTTCCCTGTTGTTTTTTTAATCATAATTTTCCTTTCATTTTTGCAAGCCAGGCTTTCTGTTACTTGTAGCTTGATAGGACCACTCTCCTCAATCCCCTGCTTCTCCCCTTTGCCTTTATTAATGTATTCAGCTGGAAATTCTTTCCTTCCTGTTACCTGGCCTAGCTGCATGCTGTATCCTCCTTCCCTCCTAGTATGCTAGAAGAGGGGGGAGTGGGAGTGAATGGGGGAGATGCTAATCTCACCTCCATCTTGTATTCCTCTTGCGGTTTGGGTTTTCTTACTCATCCTCACGTCTGGGACTCTACCACTCATCAACTATGTGGCCTTAAAGAGGCCACTAAAGTAGCCAATATGGGAGTAGCTTCTAAGCTGTGTGACCAATAAAGGCACCATTGCCAGAGACAGGAAACTGGCGCAGTCCAAGGAGAAAACTACTCACAAGGCCGGGGAGTGGCGCCTTGGAGGAGCTGAGTGAGCTGCCCAGCGGGGAGGACATTTGGCAGGAGCTGGAGGGGCAGCCCTGGAGAGGTAGGCAGGGGCCGGAGCGAGCCCGGCTCTGCAGACTAGGCAGGATGATGGTTTTAGTTTTCATCCTTAAATCAGCAGGAGAGGAAGTGCACTGATCTCTCAGAGCCGTGTTTTAGAACTATCTGCTTGTTTGCCAGTCTCCCTAAGAGACGCGGAGTCCGAGGCCAGGGCGAGTGTTTTTATTCAGAGGTGTCCCCAGCGCCTAGCACGTGGCAGGCACTCACTAAACGCCTGCTGGATGAATAAATCAGACTGGAGCCCCCCGCGGAGTTCAGCTCGGATGTCAGCCTATCAGATTTTTCGATCCCCGCCTTCCTCCCCTTTTCTCGCGCTCCTTCCCTCCCACGCCTCCTTCCCACTCCTCCCCTGCCAATCCTCTCCTGCCTTCGCGCCTCCCCTGCCCGGCCCCGCCCCGCACTGCGTCGCGAAGGCGGAGGGAGCGAGGCGGGCTTTACGGCAGCCGCGTTGCGGCGGGGCGGGGCGCCGGGCGGCCGGCGCGCTTGGCGGCAGCGGTGGGAGGCAGGCCGGCAGGCAGACGGACTCGCAGGCGGGTGGCGGCGGCCGTGCTCGCTAGTGAGGGCGGGAGGGAGTGAGTCACTGAGCGTGTGTGAGGGAGGGAAGGAGCGAGCGAGCGAGCAACCCGCGCCGTCCGCCCGCAGCACCAGCCAGGCCCCGCCGCCGCCCCGCGCCCAGGCCGGGCCGAGCCGAACCGAGCTGGGTCGGGCCCGGGCCATGCTGCTCACGGTGTACTGTGTGCGGAGGGACCTCTCCGAGGTGACCTTTTCCCTCCAGGTCGACGCCGACTTCGAGCTGCACAACTTCCGCGCGCTGTGCGAGCTCGAGTCCGGCATCCCCGCCGCCGAGAGCCAGGTACGCCGGGCAGCGAGCGGGGCGGCCCCGGAGCTGGCCCTCCCGGCCTCGGGGCCTCGCGCGCTCCCCTTGCTGCTGGTGGAGGACTGGGTGGGGGGAACGCGGACGGCGGTGCCCAGTTCGCCCCCGCAGCTGGGAGGGAGCCGGAATCCGTAGCTGCCCGGTCGGCTCCGCGGCATGGGGTGGGGTGCGGGCCGGGCGAGGGAAGGGAGGACCTGGCCGCGGACGCACCAGCTGCGGCGTGAGGGGCACGTGGACTGCCGGGCAGCCTTCCCCACCTTCTGGCTCTGTGGCCTCTTCATCCTTTCTAACCCCGAGTTTGGGGTGTCGCCGTGGACCCAGGCAGAAGCCCTTGGGATTGCAAGCAGGGTTCATACAGCCTGCTTCCCCAACCAGAAATACCAGTTTGGATGACTGGTAGACTTTTCCATCTATTTTTTTAAATTTATTTGGTAGGGTGGGGTGAGGGTTCCTGCTTGAATATACGCAGTTTGCTTTTAAATGTACTGATTGGCACTTTAGGGGAGGCAGCAAAAAAAAAAAAGTTTTTTAAGACTCACTACCTCGTTTTGAGGTCTTTGGAAATGCTTCCTCCCACTATCGCATGCGTTTTTGAGTTGAATTATTATTTTTTTAAGAAAGTAATCCTTGGTTCAACTCGGGTCATTTGTTTCTCTACTTTCTTCCTTGGTAGTAAGCCAAAGTCTCTCCTTCCAGGTTACAGCTCGGTTTGGGTCAGTTCAAAGCTCTGTGCTTTATAAGGATATTAGATTGAAAATGGCCTTGGTATCTTCTCAGTGGGATTTGGTTTCATTTCCCTATCTTGCTTCTGGAAAGGAGTTCAGCTCCTTTTATAGTTTAAAATATGCAAAGTAATTTTTTTTCAAAATGCTTTTAGGCTACCAATAGTCTTAATCAAGCAGAATAGGTGAGAAACAGTAGGTGACAAGAACTCCTGAAGCCTTTACAGGAAAACACTTGAGATTCTGACTTGATAAAGTGGGACTTGGGGGACATATTCCAAACATTAGGAAATGCAAGTCTTCCAAGGCCCTAGAATATAAATCTTGATTTCCCACCACAGTTATGAAATAGTTCCAAAAACTGTTGCCCAACTACACAGCTTGTTCTACCCTGACTTATGGTAAACAAATGTGTCAATATTTTGTTCAGAAGTAGGATTCCTTTACACAGTGTGAACTTTAGACCCTGGTATAAACCTATTCAGAACAAATTTCTTTCAGGGCCCAAGGTGTCATTCAAATGGGCACTCTGGCAAGTGCTACAAAGAAACTGTAAGATTTTGGGTATTCCCACCCCTTTCTATAAAAAGTTAATACACAGAAACTCAGGATCCAGTTTCTGCAATGCATCTCTCATGTGAAGAACCAGGAAAGGACAGTTTAAAAAGAGGACAAGTTGGGAAAATAAATTCTTAAGTTTTTGAAGGTGACTTTTTTTCAGTTTTTGTTCTTTTTTTTTTTTTAATTCTGTTTTAGTTGTTTTTTTCTCTAGTTACATTACCCTGATTGTAACCACCAATTGTAGGGGAAGTGGGAAAAAAAAAGGCGTAATCAATTTTGTTATTAGGTTTTGGGACAGGAGAGAGTGATTGTTGTAACTTCACTTTTGGGGGGCAGGGTGGGGAGATATAGTTCTAGGAATGAAACCCAGGATCTCACTCATAGTCAGCAAACTACTACTGAAGTATGTCTCCAGCCCACTGCACTTTTTGAGATTGCTTTAACAAAAATTTAAGGGAATTTTAAAAAAGGTGTCACGTTGAAAGACAATTGTATGATCAAGGCAGACATTGTCTTCTGCCAATTTGGAAATTTAGGAATTCCTTACTAGTTGAACAATTAAGTTAACTCTAAATTCTTCCTCTCAATTTTATATTTTTTGCATTTACTTTTTTCCCAAGCCAAATTAGCATATTAGAATCCTTGGGCTCCAGCTAATGTTAAGCCTGTATTAGATAACTGTAAACAGTCCCTGTTTTTCAAGTTTGTGCTCTTGGCTCCCTTGTAACCTGACAACATAGTATCTATTTTAAGATGTCTGGTGGTGGGTTTTCTTTCACTGGCTTGCCCATCAGGCAGGAACAGGATCCACCTTAGACACTTGAGTCATTTCCTTTGGGCAAATCATAAAAGTAAACATCATTATAGTTTTCCCCACAAATCCTCTTTACTTGTTTGAATCCACCCCACAACTGCCCTTTACCTTCCAGGGTGTCTTTTCCCTTTCTAGTCTGTTTACCTGTCTCTGTTCTCTGTGTCTCTGTTTTATTGTTTGTTTTGTTCTGGGGATTGAACCCAGGGGCACCCCATGAGCCACATCTCAGCCCTTTTTATGTTTTTTTCTAAGTTGTTGAGGCTGGTTTTGGATTTGTGATCTTCTGTCTTAGCCTCCCTAATCACTGAAATTACAGGCATGTGCAATCACCACCAGCCCCCATTCTCATTTCTTCGCTCCCATGCCTGACTCCGTTTTGTTCAAGGACCTTTTTTTTTTTTTTTTTTTGGCGGGTGTAGTATGGGAATTGAACTCAGGGACACTCAACCACTGAGCCACATCCCCAGCCCTATTTTTTGTATTTTATTAGAGACAGGATCTCACTGAGTTGCTTAGTGCCTTGCCATTGCTGAATCTGGCTTTGAACTCAATATTCTCCTGTCTCAGCCTCATGAGCCACTGGGATTGCAGACATTTGCCACCTTGCCCGACTGCTCTTTTTTTGATGTTTCTGGTCTTACCTACCACTGTGTGTTCAGACCACTATTCTCCAGACATTTTTATCCACACATCCCTAGTAGTAAAATGTTTCATAACATATTTCTTGTTATGTATATAGTACATTATATATGTAAACTAATATTTTATGCACTGTATGTATGTATAATATCCTATATTGTATAACATGTATGCATTATTGTATGTGAATGTAATATCCTCTGTACATCAGTTGCATAATATACATGAAGTAGTATCTTATGTTGTTCAACATAACTATTCAGTTACAGAATAGAACTCAAGGAAGAATGACTTAAATGAAAATGAAAATTCTGGTATTTTTATTTTCTTTCCATATCCTTGAAGAATTGTTATGCATGCCTGCCCCACTTTGGACATCCTTGGTTTAGAATTTAGTGTTTGATATCAGCATCAATTGTGCATAAGCATACCCTTGGAAAGATGTTAATTTTTAACAGCTCTAGTCTGATTATAGTAGTTACAATGGAATGATAACAAATTTAGAATAGAAACCGTTTCCACGTCTGTGTATGATTAAAGATGGGCATGTTCCCTCTTTCAGTACAAGTGTGGGCTTAGAAACCAGTCAGGGCTCTGTGTGGTGCTTTGATGCAGAATTGGCTGGGTGAACTTCAAACAATTATCAGGATTTAGCTTCTCTTTAAATTAGTGTCTTGGTATTTTTTAAACATCATTATAATTTGCCTCTGTAGGTGGCATGTACAGAATGGAAGGACCCTCGGGCTTTTTTAAATGCCAGGTAATAGCAATAGCTGTGATCCTGGAAGTGCTGCTCTATCCAGCATGATTGGTGATTTGTGAAACACTGTTTTAAAAAGTGGAACTGAAATTTTCTATTTAACTAGTTTGGGCATGTTTATTTTCTCAGGTAATTTTCATGTTTTTTTTTTTTTCCCCCTGATAAATACGGTATAGGAATCTTACAGAAAAAGATAAAGAAGAACATGGTCACTTATTACCTCACAACCCAGAGAAATTACAGTTTACTTTTCCATGTATTTTCTTTCTAAGCTTTTTTACTTTTATAGTTAATGGGTGTTTTAAACATGATAGGTCCTAAACTTTTTTTGTATGTGTGATGGTGCTAGAGATTGAACCCAGGGCCTTGTGCATGCAAGGCAAGCACTCTACCAGTGCTATACCCCAGTCCCTGTAAAATAATTTCTTATTTTCTTCAATCAGCACTACATTGTCAGCATTTTCCCATAACATTTCAAATTCTTTGCATTTATATATTTCTATACTGGGGATTGAACCCCAGCCCTTTTCGATTAATAAATAAATTAATTAATTTTTAAAGATATATTATTTAGTTGTCGATGGACCTTTATTTTATTTATTTCTGTGGTGCAGAGGATTGAATCCGGTGCCTCACACATATCAAGCAAGCGCTCTACCTCTGAGGCACAACCCCAGCCCCTGCTTTTTATTTTTTTGAGACAAGAGTTTCACTCAGTTGCTGAGAATGGTCTCAAATTTGGTGATCCTTGTTCCTCAGCCTCCAGGGTTGCTGGAATAACAGGCATGTGCCACTGGGCCAGGCCAAATTTAATTCTTAATACCTGCATAATGCACCATTATATAGGTGTAGTGTAATTTATTCAGTAGTTTTCCTGTTACTGGACTTTTGAGCTGGGGAAAATTGGAAGCAGTTATGAATAATATCCATATGCATCGGCTTTGTCCCCCATTCCTGATTATTTTCTCAGAATAAATTGATACTAAGTCTCCAGGTCAAAGGCATAAAACTTTTTGAAAGACTTTTAGTAACTTGACAAATTGCCTCCTAAGAAGGTTGTAAAAAGTCAAACCGGCTGTTAGTTGCATGAGATAGTATATGTAAATAACTTGGCATATTGTGGGCATACATAGTAGTAGTATTATGGTGCCACCAGATATAATTCTAAGATTTTGTGGCCAGTTCACGGTCCTTAGTGCTGGAAATGTATTGCTAAGATTTCTGTTAATTGGGGCTGGGGTTGTAGCTCAGTGGAAGAACACTTGCCTAGCATGTGTGAGGCACTGGGTTTGATCTTCTGTACCACATAAAAATAAATAAAGGTATTGTGCTCATCTACAACTGAAAAACAAATAAAAAAAAAAAGATTTCTGTTAAATGAAGGCTTTAGTTCAGAGACCAGAAAATAGGTGTGGTGTGGTACATGCTTCTAATGCCATCTACTTTGGTGGTTGAGGCAATCCAAGTTTGTGGCCACCTTCAA